AACTCCCGGGTTCAGTGTGGGAAAGGGAACAGGTTCCAACTGAATGGTGTGAATCGTCGATCATACCGCTTTACAAGAAGGGTGACAGTTCCTCTTGTGAAAACCACAGAGGAATTAGTTTAATAAACATTGCCTCTAAACTTCTCGTTGGGATCATACTCCGTCGATTGTCTGCCGCACGTGAACTGTGTACGCGTGAAAACCAGGCTGGTTTTAAACCAGGTCGAGGTTGTATCGACCACGTCTTTACTATTCTTCGGACTCTAGAACACAGACAATCTTTTCGTAGACCCACCATTTCCATCTTCCTCGACCTGAAAGCGGCTTTTGACTCAATCGACCGCTTTAAACTCTGGCTCTGCTTTTCCCTGAAGGGTGTGCCCGAAGCCGAGTCCGAGCTTACCGCACTTTTTCATTCGAGTTCACCATGGAAAGTGGTGTTCGACAAGGTTGGGCTCGCTCTCCGTTTCTATTTATTTTGTCATAGATTTACTTCTTGAAACAGCTCTTTCTTCGTGCGAGGATAGTGGCTTCGATTTACTCCTGGGTGGCAGACTATCTGATCTAGAGAATGCAGACGACATTGCCCTACTAAGTGAAGATCCTGGCGGACGCATCACAGATGAAGTGTCGGTGCGCATACAAAAGACTCGGTTGGCGTTTGCCAATTGGAAACATTTGTGGCACCGTCGCGACATCCGGCTGTCTGTGAAGGGTCGAGTGTATGCTGCAGCAACTGTGGCACCGTCGCGACATCCGGCTGTCTGTGAAGGGTCGAGTGTATGCTGCAGCAGTTCAGCCAGTATTTTTCTAGGGCGCAGAGACTGGGCCACCACGGGGACAGGATAAAAATAGATTGTCGGTGTTCGAACACCGCTGTCTACGTCGCATTGCGCAAGTCTGGTGGGGGAACCGGACGAGCAATGCTGAGCTTAGACGTAGAGTTATAGTTAATCGCGGTCGTCCGGTGGATTAAGTGGTCGACCCCCAAAGATTACGTTGGTTGGGGCATATTTTATGCGTCACCGGATAGGTTGCAAAGGTGAGCGATGCTTGCCGAGGCAGGTAGGGGTTTGGAAAAAATGAAGGTTGGTCAAGGTAATGATGGTATGAAAACCTTAACCGGAGAGATTAGGTCACATAGGCCCCGTTAGGCTCCATGGCTGGGGACCCAGAGAGTATGGTCACCGATGGTTAGAGAGACTGTGCGAAATGGCTGGGTGTCGCACACAGTGGCGCTCATGCATCTACTCATTATTCTTGTAACTTCAGTTTACGAAAATGTGCTACCTTCCGCTTAAATCTGCTGTCAACATGCTAATCATCATTCTGCTATTTTATCCAAATGAGCAACCAAAAGACAGCAACCAAAACCGACGCACAAAAGTGCACGATCAATGGTTGTAAGAACTGAACTGAACTGAATGGTTTGAGTTCAGCGCTGTGAAGAAGTTGGCGGTCTCCGTGTGAGGTGATGACGTTTTTTGAACGGGAAGTTCGTGCTTTACAGAAACAGTCCGTGGTCAGCACAAAATTTGAGTAGGTGTTCTCCGTTGTCAGGGATTGTATGTGAACCACCAAGAAGCCTTTCTGATTGATCCCAAGGACCTCACTTGAGCATTGTAGTCTCCAGCGTCCACCATAATGTCCGTTGACCGAGCACTTTGGAGCAGTTGAGAGAGTTCCTTGTAGAATTCATCCTTCACTTCTGGTGAAATGCAAAAGCAATACCAACAATCGTTAAAATGCCGAATATCTTTGTATGAAAATAACTCAAGATCAGAAGCATATCTTCGTATTATGGAAAAGTTATCAAAATTGATCTGGACTTGTCATCCCTCTAACTTTTTTCGCACGCAATCTCCAGTTCGTAAAGGGTCATTTAAACTATTCTCTGAATGAAATTGAATATTATTTTTTCCTTAAGAATAAACAATATTTTTTTGTTCCATTCAAGTCGTACTGAATTACAAGTGTTTATTTAAATTTACGGCGGTTTACGTAGTTGCGGTCAACTGAGCGTGGCTTGCGGAACAAGTTGGTGGTTCACAGTTCGAGTACCGCCTTTTGTATTTTCCATTCATCGGCTTTCATCACTACCTAGCACGCATGTGGGCAACACGAGAAGAAGTGGCCGATAGGACCGCCCACGTTTTCGGATTTAATATTTCAGCATGATATTTTAGGATTGCCTCACGTCAGAGATGGAGTTGATAATCGGGAACGATCCGTAGGGACGGTGACCAGTGAATAGTTTGCTAGCTATGATATCTTTGTTTAAGACCGGTCTATGATAGAATGTTTTTATGGCTTCTAAATCCCCCACACATTCCCTATACTTATTGTTCACCCGCAAATCGAAAAAAAACTAGATTATATTTAGGATGAACGTTATTAGTTACTGCCCTATGATTGTTTTAGGTGCTAGAGGTTACCCCAATATCCATTAACCTTGCACTTTAGTGTTTGGCCTCGTCACATGTCGGTCACATAACAGGCACCAATTTTAATACATCCCGTGGAAAAACTGATAGGCCATAACCTTCAGTTCTGGTGCACTTAATACGCCTGCTTTCGAAATCTCACGTGACCGTGTGATGTTCCATTTGGTTTCGCTTGAAATCATAACTAATTCTAACAAATCATCCGAAACATGGTCCAGAAGGCCTTGGCGTTAATCGCACTATTACTTACGACGTATCAATCTAATGTATTGACTCCACTTACACCTCCCAATAGTATTTGGAAAACCAAGTCCCCGAAAATGAGCCCTTCTGATTGGCCTTTACCAACTAATAGGCGGGTGGAGCTGATTCTCATCCAGATCTTACCACTCCACTTTATACATCAAAATATCTTTTTCTTGTAGTGTTTTCCTAATATTATTGCGACTGGCGGATTTCTTTTATTATTACAAAGTGGACCAAAACTGATGCATCACTCATTTTTCAGTTTTGTCTGCTATTGGTATAAGTCCCATGTTTCTTCCCTTTCGGTTGCCACAACGTCTGTGGTCGTTCACTTTCTTGATGCGAGTCTATAATTTTAACACATCATATTTGTCAATAAATGCCTATTCAGCCAATGCATTTCTCCTCACTCCAACTTTCAAGGTCATCAAACCCGAACGAATCACAAAAATAGTCTATTTGCACGGCATTTCAAGTTGAACTTTTCTATGCTTTGCATAAAACAAATATCGAGTGGCTTTGATTTTTATTTTTTTTTAACAAATTTTGAATCCACAAAATTATGATTTAGTATAATTTTTTCTATGGATCCTCGCATTCTGTTCTCCATTGTCTTGTAAATTTTCTCCTCTGGTAATGTTCTGTTTGGAAACACATCCAGATTCTCCATTACGTTGGAGGTGTTCGGGGGCAAGTGTGTAAATGTAGACTTCAGAATGACCGCGTCTACGTGCAAACTATTACTAGTGAAATGAAATATTACAAAATAATTTACCTGATGTGAGATTTCACAGGGGAACTTATCGTGAACAATAATCGCAATGTGTGAATTATTCTGCTTCGACTCGCCCGCGAAAATAAGCTTGATCAGTGCCCGAAAATTGTTTGCTTCAGATTCCATCGAGCTGAGACCGTTTCACGGGTGAACCATATATTTATCATGATTGGTTTCTTCCGTAAACGAACCGTCCCATGGAAAATGAATCTAGGAAGCTGAGGTTCGAGATCATCGTGAAACGGGCATTCATATGCAAAATAAACTGACCACCAAAAAGAAACTAGGGCTACACATTTAGTCGAAAAACTGCAGTATTATCGTTTTTATACACCCTCTCCGTCTTCGATTTCACCTTTGGGATACGTCGCTTTAAGTCCATGGAAACCCTCATTTGGTTTTTCAAATCACAACTGAATTCCAACTTTTTTCCTTTCTCCGTATGCATTATTTATTGGCTTCTATTTTTGACGACATTTCATCATATTTTGTGGTAGTTGATTTCCTCCAAAAAACTCTCAGTAACACCTATCGTACAGCAATAGGGATAATTTTGCACCCTGTTGACGCCAAAACTTTGATTCATGTTTGCACGGGAAACACCGGCATTAGTGGCAGAAATTATCGAAAGCTCTGCTTCCACCTGCCACCATAGTACTGAAATCGAATTGGTCCCAAAAGCTACATGCTTCTCCCAACTACCTTAAACAAGACCGTTCATATTTGACAGACAACAGCGAATTAATAATTTTTTACTGAATCGTTGAAAAGTTGGTAGTTTGGGTTGGCTTTAAAAAACTCTAGTTATCTTCTTTGTCTCCACGTGGATCGTTGCAGTGAAACAAATGTCATCACAAATTAATCTGACAGGAACTGGAAATCTTCTTCAGATAAAAAAATGCTAACATCCACCGCTAAACTACATTTGGTGTCGCACCGAGTAAACTTTCATTTTACACATTTCCACCTAGTTTTTCTGACATTCCTTCGGTCTCTGGGCAACCAACTCAATTAGAAAATTTTGCAGGTAAACAGAAATGCCATAGGGAATTACAAGAAATTATTTATTTTAACAGTCCAACATGGACTTAAACGAACTGACGTAGTCTCTGTCAAACGTTAGTGTTGCTTTCGGTAGATTTGTGCGAAACATTTTATGTGACGGAATTCCGTAGAAATCAGTAATCCTAGAGGAATCTGAGGCTATGCTTGGACGGATTCTACTCTTCTGTAGGGCTTACACATCACCAGCTGAATTACGGATCTGATCTCATCTCTTTTTCCGTGTGTTCACCCGTCCAAATTGCACAGGCACAGGGAATCCACCAATTATCATATAAGGTGACTTACAGAATGCAACAGCACCACCAAGTTTATTAAGTGCGTCAGTTTGGCTTATGTTGAAATGTATAACAACCATTGCGAAACTTTGACTAGCGATGAACTTCATACCAAATTAGTTTTCAACAGAGCTTCAATGACAGCAAAGGAATGGTTACGCTTTGATTTCTACAATTTGGCTATTCTCTCTGCAGCACACGATTGAAAACACAATTTGCTATTCCGATCGAGTCGCTTCGACCACAAATGATGGGGTTCGTCGGAGCAGTACATCAGTCAATGCATCCAGTTTGCCTGGGGGACCAGAGCAAATAGATCGGCAAAGCACCGTGCTGCAAACAGAAGAAGGATCAATTGATGTCCCTCTATCCCCAGGAGAACAGGAACGGAGGATTCATGGTAGTCCACAGTCAAAACTAATCCAATTACCAGAACTGGAATTCCCGTCTATTAACGACTATTCTGAACAGGCCACGGACGGCGTTGACGATTTGGATATTGAAGCAATGCGTTCACGTGGGTCACGTGACTATATACTTGGAGGCACCAAAATCAAGTGATGTGTCTTGTCATTTGGTTCCATCCAGTACTACTAGATAGTTCGCCGTTTGACGATCCCTCTAATTGAGATGCACTGAATCTGATACTTGAGAACTGGTTTTATCTCTGCTCTTTGAGTTTCTTCATTTCTGTCTCAATGTGTTTATGAAAGTTTGTACTTCCGGTGCTGAATTTTCAATTCTCATTTGATACTTTCATTCCATTCGTTGTATAGTACGAGAGTAAGTGTCTGTTTATGATTGTTGTATTTTTTGGTTGTTGACCCATTCCATTTTATTTGTACGATTCTTGAGAGGAACGAAAATATGTAACAGGATATAACGAAGCGACTTTTCGGATTACGCTTCCAAAACAGTAAGTCCAGAAAATCTGATGATCTACTTGAACTTTTAGTTACCACTAAACTGTCGATTGTATGCACTAACGGAAGTACCTTACTCTGAGGCGTTCATGATAAAAACTGCACAATCATATGCAAACCAAACAGGAACGGATATAAGATACGAGCCCAAAATCGGATGAAATAGGAAGAAAATATTGCAGGAATTAGAGAAAAACTTTGTTCAAATCATTCAAAAAGTAACGCTAAATGAGTAAAAAACTGAATAAATTCGAGAATACCAATTATATGAACCTGCAAATGCAGTCGTTGGCCGTTTCCAAATCCAGTCGAAATTTTAGATCTCGATTTACTTCCTATCTGTGGACCAAATGCAACAATCCCTAGCTTACCACAGCGTTTTAAATTTAAATTTATTCGCACTCATAACAATCCCAATTAGTGTCCGCTCGTCCTTTCATGATCTCGGCCTCGTGCCCCGGAGCCAGTTCCTATGTTCCGTCATCATTTCAGCACAAGGGTTGCAGCTCGGTCTTCTGTACCTTGAATTTTTCTCGGCCTCACAAGGCCGAAAACTGTGAACCGGAGATAAATACAGATTTTTTCTGTCAGAGTCATGTGACGAAATGAGGCTCGTATGCATTCTCCAATAACGATGAAACTGTACATTGACGTGGTGTGAGAATGGTTTGTCACAGCCGCAAATCCAACCATACCTGAAAGATCTATGATCAGAGGCCAGGCAAAGCTCAGTCTCACAAAGCCTATTGCTTGGGCACCTTCTGGCTTCCTTGTCTATCCACGCTCGCCCCTGGAGATGTCACTCACTTCAGCAAATAAACACAGTGAGGGGCAGTTTACCCCCTAGATGGACATAGGAGAGGGGTACCTGGAGCTTCCTCTCGATGATGGGAGAAGTCACTGTATTTCATTAACCAGCTACCGCTCACCCAAGCTGGGCAGCCCCCAGCCAATAAGGTGCTGTCTCGTCCACGCTCCGCTTGTCCCATTGGGTGCATGAAACTAAGAGCCAAGCCCGAAAAGCGGACCGTCAAACAACGCACCAGTAAACAGCACACTGAACCGAAACCCGAAGGCCTTGCTTGACAGGTTTCTAGAAGTTCTCATACGAGGCCTCGGTTAAGCTCACACCTTGAATCTACGCCCCAGTCTTGTGGTTCAGACTTTCCAGTCGAAGGCTCCGGCTGGGGTTCCTTAACAAAAGCCCTTCCGTTGGTGTGGGCTCGGCGAAGTATGTCGTACCCTAAAGTCCTAAGCACCCATATGGAGAAATCTCTTTCCTATCTGTCTAGTTCTTCCTCTCAATCCCGAATAATCCCAGAGGCCTTCTGTGTATGACCCCATCGAATACCACTCAGCGTTTTAACAGTAAAGCCAAACAATCAGAAGTTATGGGATATTTGAAGCCAATATTCCGCTTAGCCGCGTTCAACTTCAGCACACTTTACTAGATCGGTCAACTACCTGTTTTACCTACAACCTTTGAAAAATTCAACTTGGACGTATGTTGTGTCTCTAAAACGCCCATACAAGACCCCACCTCAGACATCTTCCTGTGTTCTCCTGAACCCACTTCATCCTCACGCTTCATTCGTCGTATATCAGGCGATACGCCATCCCACGCCCGTGTTGGGATTGCACTAAGTGCCAACGCTGAGCACTCGCTTCTTGACTGGATTCCAGTCAGTAGCCGACTGTGCGCTGTTCGTTTCAACGGTTCAGTACGGGTCAACAGCCACAGGACGAAGCGTCTATGCTTATTCGTCGTATGGGTGTATGGACCAATCGATTGCATTACACCTGAAATCAAGGATGAATTCTACAGAGACCTTTCCAAACTACTCCAAAATGTTCGATCAACGAAAGTCGTAGTAGTCGCCGGAGAATTCAATGCTCAAGTGAGATACGTGGATGAATCAGAAAGACTTATTGGTGGACCACATGCAATTCCAGCCAACCGGAAAGACAATGAAGGTTGCCTACTTCAACTTTACAATGACCATGGCTTGGTCCTATCAAGCACCAACTTCTAGCACAGGAAACGACACCACCTTACTTGGAAACCACCAACCTCTTCACAGAAATGGATCCAAATTGACCACAAAGCCATCACTTACCGCTCGAGACGGTCAATTCAAGACTGTCGCTCGCACAATAGATATGGACCAATATTTGTTACGAGACGAATTCTCCCTGCGCCTGGCAAACAACCGCAACAAAGGTACCGGCAAAGGATACCGCAATACTTGCAAATCATCCCTCAAAGTAGAGCTCTCCGATCGCCTATTAGTTTAACCACCAGTAGATGAACTAAACGAACACTGGAAGCAAATCAAAGAAGCTATGCGAATATCTATGAAAACAACGTCGAACTCTGACGCAGGCTTTAAACACAAACGCTGGATCACTTCGACCTCGACTGCCCTATTGGACGTTCGCAGAAACCTTCTTTCTGATGCCACATAACACGGCGCGTACATCCCTTAAACGCCAGCTCATCAAGAGCCTGACGAATAACCACGAGAAGTGATGGATAGGGAAGTGTATAGAGATGGAGAAGGCTGCGGATATCGATGAAAATCGTACTCCTTTTCTTCTTATTAGGAATACGGGCCCCAAGAACATAGGCGCGAGGTAATTGAGGAATCTGATGACATAGATTAATCTTTAGCAACGCCGTCTTCATCATGAGCTGAACATTTTGAGGCGCAGTCCAACTGGCCCCAACGATATCTGACCTATCACTCTCCAACTCAACTGGACAAATACTACCATTTTGTGCCAGTCCTCTATACAAAATGGAGGTTTCCCGGTAACAAGTTATCTCAAAAGGCATGAGGCCTCCTGCCCAGATGGGCTGTTCCTGCCGGCGTATAATAATGGAGTACCAACGTTAGTCTTGGATTAACGAAACTCGGGAAAATAGTAAGGGAGGTGAAGCAGGTTTCAACGGAGTGGTGTGAATCGGTCATTCTACCGATTTACAAGAAAGGTGACAGATCCTCTTATGAGAACCACAGGGGAATTAGTTCAAGCAACATTGCCTCTAAACTTCTCCCTGGTATCACACTCCGTTGATTTTCCGCCGCACGTAAAGAGTGCACCCGAGAGAATGCAGCTGGTCTTCGACCTGGTCGAAGTTGTATGGACCATATCTGCACTCTGCCAAACTCTGTAGCACTGACATTCTTTTCGTAGATCCACCATCTCTCTCTTCCTGGATCTGAAAGCGGCTTTCGACTCAGTGAACCGCTGTAAACTCTGGCGCTGCCTTTCGCTGAAGGGTGTGCCTGAGAAGAGTATTTCAATATCACAATCCCTTTATGGTAATAGCCGAAGCCGAGTCAAGGCACTTTTTCACCCGAGTTCACCACAGGAAATAGTGTTCATCAGGGTGGCCATCCCTCTCCTCTAATGATCAACTTTGTTATAGATTTGAGTATGGAAACACCCATATCCTCATGCTAGGATAGTGGCAAACTGTTTGACCTGGAGTATGCAGACGAAATGGTACTGCTAAGCGAAGATCCAGGCAAGTTGCAAGCTCACCTGGATAGCTTGAATACCAGTGCAGGTATGTTCTGTACGTATTTTACACATTCAACGTGTAAAATGTTGCCACAAGACTGGGTTGGTCCAGCACACATCCTCACCCTAACTGCAGAAGTACTAGAGCAAGTGGATAAGTTCGTAGGTTTGCGAGCTCACCCACGGATCAACCAGGATGGCATTTCAATCAATCAATCATATCCCTACTCCGAATCATTTTAACATGGTTCTGAGATGAGGCGAAAAATGGTATAGATCAGTTTGTGCTCGAAATAAAATTCACTTAAACGTAAAGAATGATTTGCGTGCAGAGAATTACACTCGGAGTAAAATTTCTCTCACCAATCAAAGTTTATTGATGCACGTCGTGATAGGTAGCTTGTCCCCGACCCGTCGAATACCGGCCTAACAAACGACCCCGGAAAATTCGAGAGTATAAGATGAGATCCAAACTCTAAGGGTCTCACGCTGTTTCGCCAATCAGCACAGTCGATGAAATGGTTGATTGTTAAGACGCCTTCACATAACGCCGTCCAATGAGTTGCAGTTAGTCCCAACTCCATACTCTACGACAACGGCTTACGACGGAATAGGCTGAGAAGATATTTACTGTCGCACGTATGATATTAGTTGTTCGGCTGGGTTTACCTTCATTCATCTATTTCTATCCTGACGTTAGTGACCTTCGAGACCATAAAGCAGAAGAATCAAGTTGAAAAATGGAACAAAACGCTGTTTTATCAAATGAGCTCAAAAATTGTCTGAGCTCCTTTTTTATTCTGTTGAAACAGAGGAATTACCGAACACATCAAAATAAAGTTTCTCTATGGATAATTCATTGCGGGGAGGGATTGGGGAAAACAAAGGCATGTGAAAAAAAGTAAAACGGGGATAGTACGTCAATTCGGGTAGAATGTGAAATGGCATGCTGTCCACAAACCAACAGAAAGAAAGGAAGTATAGGATCACGGTTGTGGAAGTAAGAACGAATGGGCCATCGAGCAACAACGAGGACGGATTTTCAATGAAAGACTGAGGCCTCCAGGTGAGTGAAACACGACTGAAAGGGACTGAAGAAAGGCAATTAAC